CGCATATAGGTCCTTTACTTCCTTAGTTGAGTTTATTCCTAGGTCTCTTAATTTTTTTGGTGCAATGGTAAATGAAATTGCTTTTTTAGTCTCTGTTTCTGTAAGTTCACTGTTGGTGTATAAAAATGCCATACATTTCTTGGCATTAATTTTGTATCCTGCTACATTGCCAAATGCATTTATTAAGTCAATTAGTTTTTTAATGGAGTCTATTGGGTTTTTTATGTACAATATCATGTCATATGCAAATAAGGATAACTTTATTTCTTCTTTTCCAATTTGGATGTCTTTTATTTCCTCATCTTGTCTAATTGCAATGGCTAGTACTTCCAGTACGATGTCAAACAGGAGTGGTGAGAGTGGGCATCCCTGTCTTGTTCCTGTTCTTAGAGGGAATGGCTTTAGTTTTTGTCCATTGAGTGTGATGTTGGCTGTGGGTTTATCATATATAGCCTTTATTATGTTGAGGTATGATCCTTGTATTCCTACCTTGTTGAGAGTTTTTATCAGGAAAGGGTGTTGGATTTTATCAAATGCCTTTTCTGCATCAATTGATATGACTAAATGATTTTTATCTTTCAATTTGTTTATTTGATGTATCATGTTTATTGATTTGCGGATATTGTACCATCCTTGCATTCCTGTAATAAATCCTAGTTGGTCATGGTGTATGATCTTTGTGATGTTCTGCTGGAGTCGATTTGCTAGAATTTTGTTGAGGATTTTGGCATCTATAATATGTTCATGAGAGATATTGGCCTGTAATTCTCTTTCATTGAGTTGTCTTTTTCTGGTTTTGGTATTAGGGTGATGCTGGCTTCAAAGAAGGAGTTTGGAAGTATCCCTGCCTCTTGAATTTTTTGGAATAGTCTGAGGAGGATAGGTTTTAGTTCTTCCTTGAATGTTTGGTAAAACTCTCCTGTGAAGCCATCTGGCCCTGGGCTTTTGTTTGCTGGAAGCTTTTTGATGACTGTTTCAATTTCTTCTCAAGTTACTGATCTATTGAGATTTTTAGATTCTTCCTGATTGAGTTTTGAAGGTTGTATTTTTCTAGGAATATGTCCATTTCCTCCAGGTTGTTCAGTTTGTTGGAATAGAGTTGTTCGTAGTATTTTGTAACAATCCTTTTTATTTCGGCGGGGTCTGTTGTTATTTTACCTCTTTCATTTCTGATTTTGTTTATTTGAGTCCTCTCTCTTTGTTTATTGATTTGTCTGGCTAGAGGTTCATCAATTTTGTTTATACTTTCAAAGAACCAGCTCTTGGTTTTGTTGATCTTAAGTATTGTTTCTTTGGTCTGTATGTCATTTATCTCTGCTCTGATATTTGTTCTTTCCTTCCTTCTGCTTACACTGGGCTTTTCTTGTTGCTCTTTTTCTAACTCTTTGAGTTGTAGAGTTAGATAATTTGTTACCATTTTTTCTTGTTTTTTTTTGCAATAGGCTTGTAGGGATATGAACTTCCCTCTCAAGACTGCTTTGCTGTGTCCCATAGATTTTAGATTGTTGTGTTTTCATTGTCATTTGTTGCCAGGATGTTTTGAATTTCTTCCTTGTTTTCTCTGGTAACCCAGTCCTTGTTTAATGGCATGCTGTTTAGTCTCCATGTGTTTGATTTCTTTGGATTATTTTTATTGTAGTTAATTTCCAGTTTTATGCCACTATGATCTGAGAAGATGCTTCATATGATCTCTATCTTCTTGAATTTGAAGAGACTTTGCCTATTTCCCAAAATGTGGTCTATCTTTGAGAATGTCCTATGTGCACTTGAGAAGAATGTATATTCTGGGTCTTTGGGGTGGAATGTTCTGAAGATGTCGATTAATTCCATCTGGTCTAGTGAGTCATTTAGGATTGATATTTCTTTGCTGATTTTTTGTTTAGGTGATTTGTCCAAAGGTGACAGTGGGGTATTCAAATCTCCTATGATTGTATTGCTATTAATCTCTCCCTTAATGTTCTCCAGCAGTTTTGTTTTGTTTTTTTGTATTTGGGTGTTCCCATATTGGATGCAAATATGTTTTCAGGGGTATTTCTTCTTGTTGGATTGCTCCCTTTAGTATTATGAAGTGGCCTTCATTATCTCTTGTTATGTCCTTCACTTTGAGGTCTAATTTGTCAGATATAAATATTGCTACCCCAGTTTTGTTTTTTGTTTTTTTTTATTTCCATTCGCCTGGAAAAACTTTTTCCATCCCTTCCTTCTCAGTCTGTGTGCATCTTTTTTTTTGAAGTGGGTTTCTTATAGACAACAGATATATGGGTCTTTCTTGTTTTCTTATCCAATCTGTTACCCTATGTCTTCTGATTAGAGCATTTAATCCATTTACCTTTAAAGTTATTATTGATAGGTACTTATTTGACGCCATTTTTATTCTATACCCCTGTGTTCCTTCTTCGCTTTCTATTTCTTTAATTTTACAGTAGACCCTTTAGCATTTCTTGCATTGCTGGTTTAGTTGTGATAAATCCCTTAGTCTGTTTTTGTTTGTGAAGCTCCTGATTTCACCTTCAATTTTGATTGATAGCCTTACTTGGTACAGTATTCTTGGATTCAGACACTTCCTTTGCATGACTTTGTATATTTCATCCCATTCCCTTCTGGCCTGATAAGTTTCTGTGGAGAAATCAGTTGCTAGTCTGATGGGGGTTCCTTTATATGTAATTTTCTGTCTCTCTCTGGCTGCTTTTAAGATTCTTATTTTGTCGTTGGTGTTTGCCAGTTTAATTATTGTATAATGTGTCTTGGGGTTGGTCTTCTGGGGTTCATTTTGCTTGGGACTCTGTGAGAATCTTGGATTTGTGTGGGTTTTTTCTTCTCTATGTCAGGAAAGTTTTCTGTCATTATTTCTCGTTATACATTTTCCATGTCTTCCTCAGTTTCCTTTCCTTCTGGAACCCCTTATTATTCTAATATTCTTTTGTTTTGTATTGTCCCAAGGTTCCCTTAGACTCTCCTCCTGCTTTTTAATTTTTTTTTCCAGAAGCTGCTCTAATTGGGTATTTTTTTTCCGTCTTGTCTTCTAGCTCACTGATGCGGTCCTCTGCTTCTTCTAGTCTACTCTTGATGGTTTCAATTGAGTTCTTTACAGTAGCGATGTCATTTTTCATTTCTTCTTGGTTCTTCTTCATTTACTCTTGGTTCTTACTCATAGTGTCAAATTTGTCTTCCATTCTTTTTAGCCATCTTGTGATCATTACTCTGAATTCTTGTTCTGGTAGGTTGCTTGCCTCTAACTCATTTACTTTCTTTTCTGGTGATGCCTGCTTTTTTTTCATATGTGGGCTGTTTCTTTGTCTCTCTATGATCTCTCTATTTAGGATGTCTGGTTGTGTAGTTCTCTCTCTCCTGCTTTGATTTAAAGGCACAAAATCACAACACAACCAGGTACAACACACAAGGCACTGAATAGAAATATATTTGTGATATTAATATCCCCCAATAAAGGTGACTAGAACTCAGCTAACAAAAACATACAATCAAACAAAAATAGGCAAATCAATCTTATAAAAAAAAAAAGCATACAACTTCAATATACTTAACATTCAACATACAACCACAAAGAGAGAGAGAAAGACTGTTTTTTGTTTGTTTGTTTGTTTGTTTTTAGGACAGCGACGAGGGAGGTCTGAATGGGCTTGGAGCAGGGGCTTGGAAATTAGATATATACAAGTAGGGTGAAATTTTAGGAGGGTATAAACAGAAAGAATGGGGAAAATCTAGAGCAGGAATGAGTTAAGATAAACAGGGCACCAAAGGAAAAGGTCAGGAAGAGAGTGAAAGCATAAAGGTAGGATTGAGATAGAATAAAGAGTTGGAGGAACGATAAATATAAACTGTAGAACAATAATCCTGAAATTAAAAAAAATTAAAAAAATAAAAATAAACAAGAGAACATAAGTTAAAAAAGGTAAAATAGTAGTAGTAATAATGTTAATTACGTATACAATGTAATAATTAAAAAGGGTAAAATCAAGTGAGGAAAAAGAAAAAAAAATAGATTCTTTAGTAAATGTTGCAAATAATGAAAACAAAAACAAAAAACAAAAATTTAAAAATTTAAATAAAATTTGCAGTAATGAAGGTCATTCGCTTCCTCTATTGTTGTAATCCAGTCCTGATTTTTAAGCAGTTCTTGCTTTGATTTTATTATACTAAGGTCAATTTGTGAATTGGCCTCTGGGTGGCAGTGTTTCTAGGTTGACTTCCCATGCTCTAAAGCCTCTCTAGCTTTTTTTGTTTTTCCCCCTCTCTGGGGCACTGATCTATGGAGGCAGGGAGGGGGCAAGTCCGAGCCAACTATAATCTCCTGTAATTCTCCTATATCCCTTCGAGTCAGATCCAAATGTGTTGCTCTTTAGTTATCTCCCCTATTAGGGGCCCCATCCACTTTCACGGGTGACACTTGCCTAACAGCCGGGGCTTCTACTTGTAATCACTGCCCCTGTTTTCCAGTTTCCATGAGCCCTTTGCCCGCAGGCTTTGGTCTTCTCCGCAAGCACTCACTCACCCTCTCCCTGCGAAGTTTGACCTTTTTGCCATGCGGTGGGGCACTCCTGTGGGTCCTAGTGTTCGCAACCCCTGGGATCAGTGTTCTGGGGGTCACAGCTGCTTGGTGGTTGCTGTGGCTGTGGATATTCAGGCCTCTGACATGATTCAATTTCCCTACAAGATGGCGAGATTTCCCTGTCCAAGCCGGTAGGTAGTTCCGGGAAGGGACCTCGCCCCGTGTGGGTGCTTCCCTGTGAGGGGCACCCTGTTCAGCGGCCCCCCAGAAGTTTCTTCTGGTGTTCAGCTGTCTCTTGGCTTGCTAATAAACACTTACAGCACAAGACCGTCAGCTGCTATCTCTTTCTGCTTCGGGGCAAGTCTCAGAATCTGCCTATCTATTCTTCCGCCATTTTGTCTCCTACTAAGGAACTTTATAATAAGCACTTACTGGTCATGAAAAGACATTTTAAAAATCACAAAACTTTGAAGAAATGAAAAGTCATTTATTTCAGTTGGGAAAAACTTCACATAGTCCAACTTTTTCATGTTATAGAGAAAATATAATGTCCAAATGAAATTGTCTAGTTGATTTAGAAGCATCAAGACAAAATCCAGTATTTATTCCAATACTGAATGTGGAACTTAATTTATGAAAAGTCTATCTTACTGGAGTTGGCTCTCCAAAAACAATACTAAAATGACTCCATCTAGGGTATAATACCATTTAATAATACTAGACTCAAAAATAAAATAACAAGATTATATTCTAAAGCGCTTTACCCACAGAAATCATTCACAAAATTAGTGTCTAGATTATTTTCATATTTTATATTTTTGAGTGGGAACAAAAACTTACCTAATAAGAAGCTGCTAATTTGAAAAGTTTGGGTAGAAAAAAGTTTGGGTACGTTCTGATATTTAGTTTACTCATAGGTGATGAAAATTACTACTACTCATTTGAAAAATATTTTTCCCTTAATATGTACCCCTCAGGATGGTCATGTACATTCAGTACAACAGAAATTCAGCTCAGTAATTCTAGAAAACTAAGTACTAGCCACTAAAAAACTTTCAAGTAGTTTATTTTAGTGTTATACTTTTATTTTTTAGGATATCACCATTATTTGTGACTTAGGTCAAACATGAAACACAAGAGATCAGATTATTCTCAAGCTAAGAACAAGTTTTTTTTCTTGAAAAACAAATGAACAAATATAGAAATGAATAACTATGAATCATATGCTAAAACCAAGTCAAACACCAGCATAACTGTACATAAAAAATAAGCAAATTGCCTGAACCTTGGCATTTCAAAAATAACCTAATTCAAGTCCCAAATCCACTTTAACTCTTCCTCCCATCTCAGATTTTTCTATAGCACACTTTCTGTGACTCACTCCACACTCCCTTGTATTGTCTATATTATTTCTATACAGATAGGTATTAATTACATCTCAAGCTAGATAGAAACTTTCTTTGAGGAGAGAGACTTTATAGTATATACTACTACTTCACAACAGGTACCTGAAGACTTGCTGGCATTTATTTTTTGGCAAGTAATTGTCTGTGATACAGTTTTTTTTTTCTTCCTCCAAGAGTTTACTTTTGGTAAATGGCAGGAAAATTTGTTTTTCTACAAGGGAAACCTGCTTCTAAATGATAATTTGAAAATCTTGACATATAGTTTTTAATATACACAAAAATAATGGAGGAGTGGGAATAACAGATTAGGTGCTATAACTTGCCTAAATCAAGAAGCAGCATACATATATCTAATTTATGCAAACTAAAATTTTATATAAACAGCACTATACTGTGATACTGGATATATTACTTAATTACAAAACAGAGTCAACATCTAACAGGCTGCTTCCTAGACAAAAAGGTTAATATAGCTTTGATTTGCTAATACTAAAAGCCAAACTACAGTACAATTCTCAACAGCACAATCTTTAAATAGAAAAAAAACACCCTAAACACATACATACTTTATTGCAACCAAACATTATATACCTATTGTATATAATGTACTACTACTACATTTAATGTCATCAAAATTTGTAGATAATTTATAAACCAAAAATAACACGCTGAAGACATGATCATTTAACTAAAAGCCATCCTGGCATTGTGTTCTTGCTCCTTGTGAAGATGATCCTGGAAAACCTGTGTTACCTCTTCTGCCTTCCTTTGCAGCATGCCTAAAGGGGGTAAACGTCATGATGCATCATTAATCTGAGACCAAAAAATAGACCAGGAACATAACTTACATCATCTCTTCAACATATGATTTATAGAACCTTACATGTTGTGTGTGTGGTTGTTTTTTTTTTTTTTTTTTTTTTTTTGTGTGTGTGTGTGTGTGTGTGTGTGTGTGTGTGTGTGTTTTACAGCTCTAAGTATTATAAAGTTACAGAAAGGTATTTGTCTTTCTGTTTGGAAACTATAAAAACAGTAGATAAGACTGTTCTTGATTTGCTCTCCCTAGCTTTCCAGCATATAACAATCTACTTGACATTTATGTTTTCTTGAAGAAATGTGTTAACTGCTTTTTTACACATTATAGCATAAAAGTGCCATACGGATGGTCATTAAATTGAGAGTTTAGATTTTTGTAGGTCTTTGGTGGCCTATAAGCAAATTAATACACTGTATATATTCACATTTCTATTCCCTTCTAATGATTTCTTTAACTTTGTGGTCGTTAGATTTTCTTAGGGGCAAAGAAACACAAATACCATTAATTTTACCATGTAAAACAGCAACTTCAAGCTTTTGAAGTAAGCATAACAATCAGAATTTTTCTTTTAATATACACAGATAAACTTGACCATTTGTTTTAGTATTCATTAATGCTCATTAATTGATAAGCAATAACTGGTGCCAAAGATTTAAGAAAAACTTTAAGGAAAAAACTAAATATTTGAATCAATATACTTTAAGTTTATTCAGCCAATAAGAAAGGCCCAAACATTATTCAGTTTTTAAAGTATAATAATTCATCCTATCTTATAGGCACTGTAAGATCACACTTTATGAACAACTTATTTAAATAATGGTTGGCTAGAAAAACAATGTACATTGAGCCTGGCAAAATACATTGCCTTTTTTTAGTAATAACTAATTGCAGAGTGAAAATTTTCTCCCTATATAACATTTTTCAATGTGATAGTAATGTAAATAAACACTATAACAAACCATTAACTTGAGGCCGAAAGAAATTATTAAATTATTAAATGCAAAGCAGTACATTTTATAAAAATTTTAAGAATCAATAAAATATCAAGAAACATAAATCAGCATTATTAAGTTAGCTTTACTATAAACATTTCGTCATGTCTTCAAATTGAATTCCCATGACTATTTCTGTATTAACATACTTTAAATTTTTTAGGAATTTCATTCTTTAAGGGCAAAACTGCATTTAGGCAGTTAACTACCTCGAGTGCTTGTCCAGTGATAGGTTTCAATGATTGGTTCCTGCAGGCCTACTAAATTATATATCATTACTATAAGTTGAATGCTAGTAATTAATTAAAATTTGGAGGGGAAATATACCATACAAATTTTGACATTATCATTGTTTTGACATTATTATTATACTAATAAAGGGTAACATGCTAATTAGACCGGGTTGACAGGACATCTTCTGGTTGTCTGGACATCTTCTGGTCATATGGTTTTCCTTCCAGACAAAGCCATGGTGGTGGGGGCCAAGGCAGAGGCAGTTAGGGGCAATCAGGCTGGCAAGGGAGGGCAGTTAGGGGCAATCAGGCTGGCAGGGGAGGGTGGTTAGAGGTAATCATACAGGTTTGTAGAGTGGTTAGGGGAGATCAGGCAGGCAGGCAGGTGAGCAGTTAGGAGCCAGTGGTCCTGGATTGCGAGAGGAATGTCCAACTGCTGGTTTAGGCCCAATCCCTGTGGGTAGTCAGATATCCCCCGAGGGGTCCCAGATTAGAGAGAGTGCAGGCCAAACTGAGGGACGCTCCCCTCCTGTGCATGAATTTTATGCACCAGGCATCTAGTTAAAACATAATTGTGGAGAAACCAAGACGGCAGCATAGGTAAACATCTAACTGCAGCCTCACACAACAATTTCAAAAAGATACTACTAAAATACAAAATGGACATTATCCAGAACTACAGGAAAGTTGACTGACTGAAAATTCTACAACTAGAAGGAAAGAGAAAACCAGAAGGAAAATCAGAGGAGCTGTACAAGCTTAAGGTACAAAGACATGGTGCATGCATGGAGAAAGGACCGAGCCAGAGAGGAGGGGCGGCTGAGTGCCTGGCTGGTATTCCCTAACAGGAAGGAGATAAAAGCTCCCAACTGTGCTGAACCCCAATTCTGACTGCACTGAACCCCAGTTCTGGGCAAGACCGTGGGGTCCCAAGCTCAAACAGAAGGAATCTGGGATGTAAGGTGGAAGCTCAGGGGAGCAGCAAAAGGCGGAGCCCTGAAGTTGCGCACATTGAGTGCAGAGGACAGACTGTTGACTGAGCTGTTAGATTGCCCTAGCAGGAAGGAGACAAAAGCTCTGGACTGTGCTGAGCCCCAGTTCCAACTGCACTGAACCCCAGTTCTGGACGAGACCCTCGGGCTCAGGCTCATATAGACAGAATCTGGGCTGTAAGGCGGAAGCTCAGGGGAGTAACGAAAGGCGGAGCCCCCGAATCACACATATTTCACACAGAGGATAGACTGTTCATTGAGCCACTGGATTGCCCTAGTGGGAAGGAGACATAAGCTCCAGACTGCTCTTAACCCCACTTCCAAATGCACTGAACCCCAGTTGAGGGCTCGTTGGGGGATAAACTAGACTGTCTGGTAGTGGGCAAAACTCAAGGGCACCTTTCTCTCAGCGGTGCTTGCAGTGAGTACCAAAGGACACTGAGGAACACTGAGACTTAGGAACCTCATAGGGCGGGACTAACAGGAAGCCAATGTTGTAGGCTCCACCCTGAAACTCTGCCCCATCCAAGCTGAGCACAGAGGCTCTTGCAGTTTTTCCAAGTCTAGACAAATAAGGCTGTCTCCTGGCATAGATATAGCTGATCCTCCCACCCTACCAACTCAGGGAAGCAGCGAAAATGCCGAGACAAGGAAACAGATCACAAACGAAAGAAATGGAGGACAAAAAGCGACTGTATATAAAGTTCAAAACCACGCTTATAAGGTTTTTCAAGAATCTCCTAGAAAAGGCCAATAAAATAAACAAGACCTATGAAGATATGAAAAGGTATCAACTAGAAATAATAAAGGATCAGCTAGAAATAAAGAATACATTCTCTGAAATAAAAAATATTATACAGAGTCCTAAAAACAGAATGGAAGATTGCAAGAATCAAGTCAAAGATTTGGAACACAAAGAGCCAGTGGACACTCCTCCGCAGAAGCAAGAAGACAAGAGAATACAGAAAGTTGAAGATAGTGTAAGAAACCTCTGGGACAACTTCAAGCGAACCAACATCAGAATTATGGGCGTCCCAGAAGATGACCGAAAGCAAAATACCGAAAACATTTTGAAAGAAATAGTGAGAAAACTTGTCCCACCTGGTGAAAGAAATAGACTTACAAGTCCAGGAAGTGCACAGAACACCAAACAAAAGGAATCCAAAGAGGACCACACCAAGACACATCATAATTAAAATTCAAAGAGCAAAAGACAAAGAGAGAATCTTAAAAGCAGCAAGAGAAAAGCAGGTAGTTACCTATAAAAGAGCACCCATATGATTGTCAGCTGATTTCTCAACAGAAACCATGCAGGCCAGACAGGAATGGCAAGAAATATTCAAGGTGATGAATAACAATAACCTGCAGCTAAAAATACTCTACCCAGAAAAGCTATCACTCAGAATAGAAGGCCAGATAAAGAGCTTCACAAATAAATTTAAGCTAAAGCAGTTCATCACCGCCAAACCAGAATTATATGAATTGCTGAAGGGGGTTCTTTAGGAAGAGGAAGAAAATAAAAATAAAAATTATGAACAAATACATATCTATCAACAAGTGAATCTAAAAACCAATGGAAGTAAAAAACATCATGAACAATATTAACTGGTGAATATAATAGAATCAGAGATATGGAAGGGGAGCAGACTGATGATTCTTGGGGGAAAGGGTAGTGGAGGTTGCGGGAAGAGACTGAACATAAATTGTGCACCTATGGATGAGAACAATGGAGGATGGGGAAAGAGCAGAGGGTGGAATGGGAATCTGGTGGAGGGGAGCAATGGAGGGGAAAAAAATGAGGAACATTTGTAATGATATAAACAATAAAGATTTATTAAAAATAAATAAATAAATAAATAAATAAATAAATAAATATAGCCCCAGAAAAAAAAAAAACGTAATTGTACTGAACAATATAAAAATGAAATTAAGAAAATAATTCCATCCCCAATACCATCAACAAATTAAACACTTAGTAATAAATGTACCAAATGAAGGATGAGCTCCATACTTAAAACTACAAGATATTGCTAAAAGAAACTAAAGACCAACTAAATAGAGAGATTTCCATGTTCATGGATAGAAAGACTCAGTAGTGTTGAGATGGCAGTTCTCCACAAATTGATTTATAAATTCAATGTCATCTCTGTGAAAATTCCAGCAGGCTATTTTTTGTAGAAAGAGCCAAGCTTTAAAATTTACATGGAAAGGTAAAAGACCCACAATAGCCAAACAATCTTGAAAAAAGAAGAATAAATTGCAGGAATTGCACTACCCAATTTTAAAATTTACTAGTAAGTTACAGTAATTGAGACAGTGTGGTATTGACATAGGATAGACAGAGAGATCAATTATACAGAATAAAAATCCAGAAATAAAAACCTTGAATTTATTGTCATTTTATTTTTTGACAAAGATGTGAAGTCAATTTAATGGAAGAAAGCAGACTTTTCCAACAAATGATGTGGAGAAAACTGGATGTCTATATACAAATGAAGTTGAACCCTTACCTCTAACTATGCAAAAAATCAAGAGGGTGGATTATTGATCTAAAAGTAAGAGCTAAAACTATATGGGAAAATAAAACACTTGTCAATCAACTAATGAATGGATAAACAAAATGTAGTCCAGTCCATACACTGGAATGCCTCATGGCAGTAAGAAGATATAAAATACTAAAACATGTTACAACATAGAAGAATCTTGAAAACACTGAGCCAGACACAAAAGGCCATATATCATATG